CCATTCGGAGCATAAATTTCTATCAAAAGAATCTTTTTATTCTCTAACTCTATCTCTACCATCAATATCCTACCATCTTTATCTTTAAAAATTTCTTTAGCCGAGATCCAATCTTTTTTGTATAACACCACCCCCTTTTCTTTTGCTTATCTAATGACATAAAAGCATTTCCTAAATTTCTGTTAGCAGGTATTTTTGCTTCTCTTTTATATGCACCTCTTGTATGGCTATTATATCTGCATTCAGTTTTTGTAAGTTATGAAATATTTCTTCCTTTTCACCAGAGAGTTTAAGCCATTAATGTTCATCAAAATTACCTCACATTTCTCTCTTTTTATCAATTTCTTTGTCTCATACTCCTTGTTGCTCAAGTTGTTCCACTGGTTAATTATTCTATCAGGAAATTTCTCCTTAGTTCTAGGTTGCTTCTCTCCTTGATTAGTTTCCAACCATTGTTTCTTGACCTGTTCAATCAAATGATTGATTAATAATGATACTAAGGTATTTAATTTTTGATTGACAATATGAGATTATATGTAATGTAATTGTAATTGAAGACTACGAAATGGAAGCACAAAACAATCCGTAAACCAACCAGCACACTGTATGTACACGCATGGAAGATAGCTTGATGTTTTGTTTGTTTATGTTTGTTTTTAAAAACCAATAAAATTTTTTAAAAAAGAAGATAATTATGAGATTATTACAACAGATTGCGATGGACTTGGAAAAATGGAAGAACTTACAACTATCTTTAATAGGTAGAATTGCAACAATTAAAATGAACATATTGCCAAAAATATTATATTCTATTATATTATTCCAGACGATTCCAATAAGACTGAAAAAAAATACTTTGAAGATTTAAATAAAATGATGTTGAAATTTATTTGGCTGAGGAAAAAGACAAGAATTAAGATAAAACTATTGCAGGATGCAAGGGAGAGAGGGGGTTTTCAATTACCTAATTAGGAACTATATTATCAGGCAACAATATTGATGTGGATGAAGAAATGGATTGTATTGAAAAATGCCAGATTATTAACACTAGAAGGGCTTGATTTACAATTGGGGTGGCATGCATTTTTATGGTATAAAGAAAGTAAGGTACATGGATATTTTAGAAGATACTCCATTAAGGATGCTTTATTAACAGTGTGGGGAAAAATAAGAGACTATCATTACATGAAAATACCAGTCTGATTATCAACATTAGAAGCTTTTACATATCCACAGTTATTTAAAAAGGAACACATTATTAGATATGAAAATTTTTTAAATGAAAAGGGTGAACTCAAAACAAAGCAAGAATTAGACTTACAAGGGATAAATATAAATTGGTATTCGTATTTGCAAATACATACAAGGTATGAAAAAGACATTAATATGGCTGGGTTTTATAAGGAATTGACTGAATTGGATAAAATCCTAACAGGCACTGAAGAGAAGTTGATCAAAACACTATATGGTTATTTATTAGGAGTGAAATTAGAGGAAGAACAAGTAAAAGAATCAATGATTGCGTGGGGGAAAAACTTTGGATATGGAATAGACTCAGATAAATGGCAGATATTATGATCTAAAAAATATAAATTATGTCAACGGCCTATAAAGAGAATTTGTATAAGATGTTTTACAGGTGGCATCTACCCCGAGAATTACCAAAATCGGCGAAGTACTGGAAATGTTAGAAGTCACCAGGATCATATTACCATGTGGTGGACATGCACAGAAGCCAAAAAGTATTGGACTAGAATACACGTGGCTGAAGAAAATGATAAAACAGCCTATAGACTTAAAACCAGAGACATTTTTATTGGGAATTTTGCCTGAGGGTTACAATAAAGAATTAATGTATTTGATTATCAATGTATTAACAGCAGCTAGGATTGTATTTACACAAAATTGGAAAAATGAGAAAATTCCGATGGATGAGGAAATAATTAAGAAAATAATGGAATGTACAGAAATGAGTAGATTGACAATGGCAATTGGAGAACAAGAAGAAAAAGATTATTATAAAAATTGGAATTTATTTTATGAATGGCTGGATAGAAGAGTAAGAAATTGAAATATGTAAGTGCAGTCTAATATATCATTACCGATAAACGGATGAGTTAGAATCAGAAAATGAATATGGAATGTATCATTGAAAATCAATAATTACAATGTTAAGGATAATATAAGTGATATAAAATATTGATTAGAGCAATTATAAACAGATATAAAATATGTACAATATGTGCACAAAGATATAGGTACCCAACTGATACGCTGTTGAACAGAAAGGTTTTGTTTTTGTTGTTGTTATAAAAACAAAAAACTTTTTATAAAATTAAAAAACATTTAAAGTATCTGTTGTTTCCAGGGCTCATCCCTTTAAAATTATATCCAGCCAGAGCTCATTCTGAATTTTGATGTCTTCCAAATCATTCATACGTGCGCTGGCAAAATTTGATTTGCAATTTCATTTTCATTCATTCATTTGTTCATTCATTCATTCATTCGGGGTCCTTGGTGAATTCTGGGCTTGCTTGTTTTCTTCCAGACGTTTCATTACCTAAATTAGGTAAAATCATCAGTATTAGTCACTAGTACTGATGGGGCCGCGGTGGCTCATGTAATAAGATGCTGGGCCCATGTACCCCTGAGGTTGGCAGCTTGGCGGTTCGATTCCCATGAGTGAATAAACCGCGGAGGGACAAGAAAGGAGCCTCCCCCTGATTGCATTCAGGCATCCCGCAGGTAAAGATAACACTGCTCAAAAAAATTCCTTTCACAGAGGCAGCCAGCCACCTCAGTGATCCCTGGCTAACACGTGCCAAACGCTAAATAAATCAACTAGTACTGATGTTACCTAGTTTGGGTAATGAAATATCTGCATGAAAACAACCAAGCTCAGAGAGCACCCCACATTTCAACAAATATTCTCATTGATTGATTGACTCACTCATTCTATATGGCCACCCACTTGCCAAACTACTCTGGAAATAAGGCTGTACAAATATACATACAGATAAATTACAAAAATAAAGCCTACCAAAACAAATCTTTATTATCTCTAGGATTCTTTTTTTAATCTTTTCAGCTGAAAATTGTAAAATTGATTAATAATAGGCAATGGAAGTCTTGTTTTGTAATGCAGCAACATTTATTTATGAATCAAATTTCTAGGTTGTCCAACCAAATGACTCTGGGCAGCTAAACATATTGAAAAACTATAAAGTCAACAATAAAACCCAGTAGATAACATCCGTTGAAAGAAACACCACCAGCAGATTCAAAAGCAAGACAACAAAGTCATACAACCAGGCTAATTCAAGGCCCAGAGAATAGCCATGATTGCAATGTTCTTTTAGGAGCCAGTAAGGTTTTTTTGGGGGGGGGCGGGGTTTCATACAAATCCCTGGAGAGACCCTGTTCCACAGGGCAGGTCCAATGGCAGAAAAGGGGCTCTTCCTGGGTATTACTCATTGGCATTCTTTAATTGGCAAGATCCAGCTTCAGTCAGGCTGTCAGATCTTACAGGACACACAGAAGCTGCAGATGGTTCCTTCTAGGTTCCATCCCAGGAAAGGCGAGGTAAGGGGCAGCACCCTGAATTGCACCTGGAAGCCAACCGGTAGCCAGGGCAGTTTACGAAGCATCTGCGACACAGCCAAGCTTAATCACTGCTCATGCGGCTACATTCTGGGGCAACTGTAGCTTCCAAGTGGTCCTGAAAGGCAGCTCCATGCACGTCCCACCTGGCAATGATCTACCCAAGGCTTCAGCCATCCTAAGAAAGGGCACAGCTGGCACCTACGCAAAGGCCCTTCTAGCCGCAGCTGCTGCCACTTCCTGTAGCAGGACCCCAGAGTGCATGTCAGGTCCAGCTGGGCTAGCGCAACCGCGTTCAAGGCCAAAACCCAGAGGGGGGCATTCACTCCTCCCTCGACATTGCTGCTGCTAGGGTTTAGCCGGAGCTGCTTCCTGCCCATCCAGTCTCTCCCACAGCCTCCAGGAACAGGGACATTCCTTCAGAGGCCTTGCTTGATACGCAACTGGCTTTCCTCGGCACTCCGTCTCCCAGGTTCCATTAGGGAAACAATTCTCAAGGTGGAGTCTCAAGGAAGTCCGCCCTTACTCACAAAAAGCTGCAGAGTGGCCGCCTTGTCCCTCTAATTTTGAATCCCCTAACCTAAGAGTGATTCAAATGGTGCAGCCAAAGAAACTGGGGGTGAAACTGCTCCCTCTAACACAGGTGGGTGATACACTCACGCTTCCCATAGCAAATAAATCAGTACACTTGCTAACCTGTTTCTCTTCTAAGCTACCTGGGGAAACCTGGTGGGTTGCAAAGATAGATAAAGCAGGGTAAGAAGAGCCACTGGGCAGATCGGAGCCACCGCCTAGCCAGAGACCGTCCTCCTTCCCACCCAGGGAAAGTTTCTGGGGTCCCCCATCCAGGCTCTTCCTGCCAAGTAGCGCTTGGCTTCAGCTACCTCGTGTTGAGGAAATGCTTGAAAAGAAGTACCCCTCTACGGGGACAAAATCAGGCTCCCATTTAGGCCAAAAGGAAATTCCAAATTTGCTTGAGACCCTTTCATTTTTCGATCTATTTCAAAGTCACCTAATGGAAGTTCTAAATTCTAACCAGCCTAAGAAAACAAGGCAGGCCACATCACTCCCTCCTTTATGGCGGTCTATGAGCCAGAAATTAAAAAGCCGCCGCTCCGGCATTTCACTTAAAAACATTCCAGCTTCCTACTTCCACGATTACCAAAAGAAACGCCTCAACCTTGGAAGGGGAAGAGGAGCACAGTCAGCCTCCCACCACGGCTTCCCAGAGAGCGGAGCTGTGAAGAAGCCTCTCCGGAGGCCAGAGTTCGCCAGGCAGGAACCAAAGGCCGAGGAGGAGGAGGAGGAGGAGGAGGAGGGTCTTCTCAGGGGTCCTCTGGTCACCTGCCAGGCACACCTGGCCCTTCGCGCTCAGAAACCAACCCATCGCCCAGGCGCACCTTCTACTTATCGCCTCTCCTTTAGGCACCGCTGGGCTTGCCGGGGATCCAGTCAGGCGCCAAACCGTTGGATGGAGCCATCCGGGGGAGCCTCCTTTCAAAAGCCGGAACTTCCCCGCAGGCGGCAAGGAGGCGTTTCAGCACCGAGCCTGACTTCGGAGGCGGCTGCCTTGGATCGTCCCCGCCTGAGAAGCGGGAGAAAGGGGGGGGGGGTTCAAAGGCGGCTCGGTCCAGGAAGCGCAACCCGGGCGGGCAAAGCGGCTGCCGGGGAAGAGCAGGACTTCGCGGGGGGTAAAAGGAGGAAGACCCCGGGAGGGAGCCTCGCCGGAGGAAGGCCCGGGAGGGGGAGGGGCTCCTAGGCGGCCCCCACGGCGCTGCCCGCCCCCAACCCGAAGCGGCTCCGGAGGGGCCCAGCCGTCGCTCCCGGCAGCCTCCCGCCCGTCCCCCCGAAGTCGCACCAGGGCCCGGGACTTTCCCCCCGGGAGGCTCCGGGCGGGGAGGGGCTCCGCGGCCTCTCCTGGGCGGGCACAGAGCCGCTCACCCCGGAGGGCAGCCGCGTCTCGCGCCCCTCTCTCTCTTCCCCCGACGCGGCCGGGCCGGAAAACAGAGGCGCTGAGCGGGAGGCCGGCCGGGGGCAGGGGGGCTCCCTCCCCCCGTGGGCCCAGGGAAGCCGAGCAGGAGGCAACGGCGGAGGGGAGGGCCGGGCACACCGGGGCCAGGGACGCGCCCTCACCGGCCAGGCGGCTCCTTCCGTGCTGACGGACCGGCCGCCTTACTCGCTCCGCCGCCGCCGCCGCCGCTCCGGAAGCAAAATGGCGGCGGGGGGCACAAGCGCGCACGCGCGAGAGGCCAACCTGCGGACGGCGAGCCCGCTCCGCGCATGCGTGTCCTACCGGCGGCGATGGCGGCCCCGGCCGGCTGCGGCCCTTCCCCGCCGGCGCTGCTGCCTTGGGGGCGGCTGTCGGCGTGGCTGGAGTGCGTCTGCGCGGTGACCTTCGACCTGGAGCTGGGCCAGGCCCTGGAGGTGGGTCGCTGGGGGTGCGTGGGGGGGGGGGCGTCCCATCCGGGGGGGTTGGCTGACGGTCGCTCTGCTCCTCCCGCAGTGCATCTATCCGCCGGACGGCCGCCTGACCGAGAAGGAGGTACCGGGGGGGGGGAGGAGCAGGGGAGGGGGCGGGCGGGCGGGCGGCCCGCGCCCCTCTCACGTCCTTCCCCCCCCCCCCCCCCGCAGGGGGCGAGCGTCTGCTACCTGGCCTTCCCCGACTCCTACTCCGGTCAGTGAGGCTGGGCGTGCCGGGGGGGGCGGGGGCTGGAGCGGCCCCTTCGCTGACCCCCCTCCTCCCGCTTGCGCCGCAGGGAGCCTCGGGGACACCCAGTTCAGCTTCCGCTTCCGCCGGTCTGCGAGGCGAGGACGGGCGGCGGCGGCCGGCGAGTGGCGGTGCAGCCGGGAAGCCCCGCCAAGCCTGCAGGTGGGTCGGGGGTCTCCTCGTCCGGAGTGGGGGCTCCGCTGGGGCCTCCCGGTCGCCCCGCTTTCCTTGGCGGGCCGGAGGTGAGAGGGCTGCCCTGCTTGTCCCCAGCCGGAGCCAGCGCACCTCTTCGGCTACGTCTTCTTCCGGCAAGTCCGCGACCGCTCCGTGCAGAGAGGCTACTTCCAGAAGGTGAGGAGGGGAGGGGAGGGGAGGGGAGGGCCTGCCCTGGAGGAGGGCCGTTCAGGGTCTCCGCTTTTCCGCTCCAGTCGCTGGTGCTGGTGACTCGGCTGCCCTACGTGACCCTCTTCCACTCGCTGCTGCGCCTGGTCGCCCCGGAGTACTTTGAGAAGCTGGATCCGTGTCTGGAGGCAGGTGAGGGCGCGGGGGTGGGCTGCCTAGGATCACCCCAAGGCCGGGACCCCTTTTGGAGGGAAAGCTGGGGTCTCCAGAGGGCCCCCTTTGTTTCCGGGCTCCTGGACCTGAGCAGGCCAAGCGCTCAGCCGCTGCTCCCTTTGCACTTCTTCCAGTGTGCAGCGAGATCGACCAGTGGCCGCCCCCCATGCCCGGCCAAACGCTGAACCTGCCGGTGATGGGGGTGGTTATTCAGGTATGGGCCGGGACGCTTCCTGCTGGGTGCCGCTTACTGCGGGCGGCTCTGTTCAGGAAGGGGGCTCCATTTGCTGCTCTGCTCTTTCTGGTGCAGGTGAGGATTCCTTCCCGTGTGGACAAGCCCGGCTCCTGCCCCGCCAAGCCGCTGATTCGGGAGGTGAGCGGTCAGCCTTAGTGGCACCTGCGGGTGGCCTTGGGACGACAAGGGGAAGAGGAGGAGCTCCCAGCGGTCAGGGAAAGAACCGAATGGCCAGAAGTTCGTCCCTTCCGCTTTGCAAGATTCTATCCGTATAGCCTTCCACCAGAGTAGAAGCGGCTCCTCTGGCCGCACTTGCTGTGGAGCTTGCCTGGGAAGGCCGGCATGGGAGCTCAACCTCTTCCAGCCTTTCCCCTGAGCACTGCCTGGCCCCAGTGCTTGATGCGAGCGGCTGTAAAGGCTGAGCCGCTGGTGTGGGGGTTGCCCCCCCCCGGGCTTGCCCATGGACCCCGCTTGAAGCCCTTCCCGGGTGTCCCTGTGCTGGCAGATGGCATAGCCCACAAGCCCTGGTCTGCCTCTCCTGTGGTGCAGTGAGGCAGAGGACGTTCTGCCCGTGTGTGCGCACGCCTGGGGGTGGGGTGGGGGAGGTGGTTTAGTGCATCCTTGCTTCTGCTTAGAAATAGCCACAACGTCCCTCGCCGGCAACGCCACCCCTTCCGCTCTGAATTGGGTCTGGTTTCTCTGGATGCTCCTCTCCATCCAGGCCACACACAGAGTCTGGACTGGGCTCTTCCTTTGGAGACCTTGGCTGCTTCCCCTTCCAAGCGTGTCCAGAGAGAAGAAGGTTTGCGTCCCTCCAGGCTCAGAGCCTTTTGCCCTTCTCTCCCTGCTCAGAACCTCCTGCCAGCTCCCCTCATCCTCCCCAGTGTGGCTGAACTGGACCTCTTCAGGTGAGGGCTCGCTCTTGCAAAAAAAACCAGCTCCTGTCCAGGGTGGGGAGGAAACCTGCCTGGCCAAACCCTCAGACCAGCCTGGGCTACAGAAACAGGGAGGAGGGGGAGGAGACTGGGAGCGCTCGAGATGGGGGTTCACACCCCACACCCTGAGGGGCTGAGCCAGAACCTGACCAAAGGTGGGGCTGGCGGCTGTGTGGTTCAGCACAGTGCTGGAGGGCAGCCCTTGGTGTGTCCACATTCGATGCCCAGCTGTGCCCTCTCCCCTTTTCTGCTCTCGGGACAGGTGCTTCCAGTCGGTGCTGGTCCACATTCAGCTGCTGTGGGAGCTCGTCCTGCTCGGGGAGCCCCTGGTGGTGGTGGCCCCTTCTCCTGCCATGTCCTCGGAGATGGTCCTTGCCCTAGCCAGGTACCCGACTCGCCTACCGTCCCCTGCGAAGCTGCCATGGCCTATAGGGAGTTCCTGGCCAAGGGGCCCCCTCCATGCAGCCCAGCCTCCCCACTGCCCACTCCCCAGCTGCTCTCCAACCGGAATTGTTTTCTTCGCCCCCCCCCCCCCAGCTGCCTGGCGCCCCTGAAGTACTGCTGTGATTTCCGCCCATACTTTACTATTCATGACAACGAGTTCAAGGAGTACACGACCCGGACGCAGGGCCCGTGAGTCTCCTCCTGCCCAGGGTGCCTTGAGGGGCTCCGGGAGGAAGCCCCTGCCTCACCCCTACCCCCCTCTTGC